AATTCCAGCTTCGTAAATAACATACCTGGAGCCAACACACCTTAAGCTGAGGCACCATTTACAGTGGGATGTCTAGTGAAGACCCGCTAAATCCAGTGCTCAAGGCACAGTCAGCACCAGTACTCCTCAGAGCCACGAGGAGTAAGGGAAGCCACCAGCAGTGTGCCAACGGGCAAGTCCTGAGCATTCGATTAAGCAGGTCTTTATTAGATCTGCTAAATCGAATGCCAGAAAATCCAGCTCCATGTGGCCTGACAAACGAAGAACTGAAACCTGCAGAAAGCGGCCATGCTAACTGAGGGAGGGGGTCACTCACCTGGTTCAAGAACTGACATGAGTCGGAGGAGAGGAGCAGGCCCTGTAAGAGCCTGCAACCCTCTGCAGAACATGGGTGACACCTGATAAGTCAGAAACACACACCAGTTGTTTATGGTTTTACCAGTGTTTCTGCTGTAACGGTTGTGTTGTAAGCAACACCTAACAGCACATAGGTCACTGGTTAAGCCTGTCGCTGCCTCTGAGCAAACAGGACTGCAGGTTCTGAACCAAAGCATGGACAGCAGGAAGAACGGCAGCCTCCCCGCCCGGGCTAACTGAAGACCGCTGTTGAACCCGGGACAGCTCAAAGCCGGAGCCCGCAGAGAAGCCCCACCGCGGAGCAGAGGTGCTGTGACTCAGCGCAGACACCCTGCGGGAACTGCACCAGCAGTTTCATAGCGCACAGCGCTACGCAGAAGTCCGGAGGGAAACTGTACCCAGCTGACACGGCAGCCTTTAAGCCGTTGGCCAATGCCACCAGGCAGAGTGCAGTTAATCCAGAACTCGGCAGGACACTAGACTAACGTCCCCACTCTTGAAAGCGGTTCGAGGGCCCTTCAGTGCGAATACACGAGCCTAGGAAATGCCTGCCAGATCCCTCTTCTGCAGGGCACTGCATGCCACTGCCTCACAGAGGTTAGCTCCTCCAACTTGGCAGGTGCTGTGCAATTGGAAGACACTTCTATAAGGAAGTGATTAAGATTAGGGGTATGAACGTTTAACGAGTGGGGGCTGGAGCAGCTCCCCACCCGCCACAGACAAGGATGCTCCAACCGGGATGGAGCAGCAGGCCTGGGCACCCCACAGGCAGGAACTGCTCTGGCCAGGACACCGGAGTAGTACCTGCCTGAAACGGCAGGGGGGGGCCCAGCTCCGGCCCAGAAGCAGGCTGAGGGAGGGGGAAGAGCTTGCTCCAGCCTTCCGCCCAGCTCCCCTTTAATTTGTTAACCAGTTAAATATGTCTAACCAGTTAACTAAACAAACCAGATTTTACATCCCTAGTTACAGCTGGTTAAAGTACCACATCCACACAATGCAAAAAAAAGAAAAAAAAGAAAAAAGTTGAAGTTAAAGTTAAAGTTATGGGAAGTCTCAACTGCCTCGTAATTCCTCCATCGCAGATTTCCCCTCATCGAGAAAGATACTGCATTGTCACTCAACTTCTTCCTGCCTCCGAGTGATAAGGAAACACACTACACATTAAACGTCCCTTACAGTACAATGCAAAACTCAGTTACAGCCCCAGTGACATTAGCAAACATATGTGCAGAGCTTGACTGTGCTGCATTTAGGGGAAAAGCACAAGCCTGAAATTAAGGATTTGTAATTCATTGAAAGAAGATAGAGGTGTTGTGTGTAGTATTCTTTCACCCCACTCCTCGTGGCCCCGTCTGTGCTGTTCTAACGACACACTATCCTCCCCTCCAAAGCTGGGAACAGAATCAGCAGCTCCAATTCCCAGCAGTCTATTTGTCACAGTCGCATCACTGACGATAGGCGATATTTCTCTCTAATGGCTGCGCCACATGCAGGCTACATTACTACTGTAGTGCCTAATGTGGCGAATCGAAGGTCAATATTCATGACAATCACTGTTTGTTCTAGTTTTATTTTTTAAATCTCATTAATAAAATGTACTTAAGAGTGTTATTCCCTTGGCCTGAAGTGAGTAGCTTCCATTTACTCACTAAGTTTTGGGAAATGGAAGCCATCGTGAGTAAGAAAAATTACCACCATTATGTGATCATGATTGTTTTCCTGTGCATAATTACAATCAAATTTCTTCAAAATGTACATTTAAACTAACAGGCAACAAGTTTTAACAATATGTAAAGTGTGAAAAATGCGCCAGCCATTTGGTAGCCAGACCCTGGAGAAGGAAAATACTCTCCTAGGCCACATCTACACTAGACCTGGAAGGTCTGGTTAAGGTATGCAAAGGTAAGCCGACTCATAAGTCGGCCTCAGCACCATCTTCACGGAGGGAGGCCGACAAGAGCAAATGCGCCCATCAGCTTCCCTTACTCCTCATGACTGCCAGGAGAACGGGAGCCGCTCTCAGCATTTGACTTAGCGGGTCTTAACTAGACCTGCTAAGTCAAACGCCAGAAGAGCGATCTCTGGCACAGCAAATGGAAGATGCGGCCCTAGTTTTTAAAATTAAAATTAATTTAAACCTCTAGTTGCAAATACGCAGAAGGTCCAATCTTTACTTGCAGATGATATACTGTAAGTCTGGAGAGCAGACACTAGTTTCCATACAAAACAGAAGGAAAAGCCAAGTCCAGTCTTAGTAAGAAAGGCACTTCTGCCTCTTTATAGCACAGCAGGCCTGAGACATGCTGAGCCAGGACTTTACAGTCAGTGCTCTGTACATGCCTGCAGCATGTGGCCATGTTCAATAACGCTGAGAGTTCCTTCAGCATTACATGCTGTTAGTACTGAATTTAAGTTCCCAGCTGTTGTCCAACTCTGTAGCCCAACTACAATGCAGCGGTTTTGGGGTTGGGAGGAACAGCAGACTTGCAATAAAGATATAAAACTGCAGACTAAAGGTTACTCCTTGCTCCACTGCAGACACCCTGGAACACATTGGGCAAGACACCCTAGTTAAATCTGTTTCTCCAGCTTTGAAGTGCCCTGTGCTATCACGGTTGTCCCTCCTGGCCTAAGAATCTATGCTCTCACTTCACAGGACGGCTGACAAGGCTTAGTATTTGGAAAGTGCTTTGAGACCCTCCAAAGGAAGTCACTATACAAGTTCTCAGTAGTAGCAGTCTTGGCTAGACACCTGCTAGTCAGAGGTTGATACAAGAGGGGCAAATCAATACCAGGAAGATGCAAAAGCAGCCTTCTGCCTTCACTGAATTGGAAGGATGCTCTGTGCCCTGCCGTTGTGTTAGCCCAGAGCAATTTTTCAAATCAGCCTCTATTTATTAAGTTTCTGAGGACCATGAAGGCACCCTTGAAAGCTTCTGACTATGAAAGAAGGGCTTACATATGCCCACCCCCACCCACCACCTTCTAGTTAGCCCGTGTGGGTCTCTGCTATCTGAAGCTTTGCTCGGAAGTAGAACAGGCCTGAGTCTTCTTGCTGGTGTTGCTGTTACCCACCGTTCAGCAGAGCAATAGTGAAACTGCCTAGTCCTGTCTGCAGCATAAGAGGCAGAGCTCCAGAGGATGGCTGGAGGCAGAGTTTCATTAGAAAGAAGTCGGGGGTTGCAGAAAGAAAGCTTCCATTCTTCTGGAGCTCCCTCCCCCCCCCCAAAACGGTCAGAGGATTTCATGTTCTGGTACCACAATGGAGCTGTACTGTAACTAGACTACACCTGGAAAAGAGGGGTGGCCAGGGTGTGTGGGATCAGAGCCAGAGTGCCACAGCCCAGCACAGCCGCAGCTCTAGCACAGACACGACAGGCCCTCAGTTCACTGATGCGCAGAGCTCCCAGCAGCCTGGGATGTACGGAACGCACGCTGGTAAGACCACGGTTTAACATCTCCTACAAGGGGAGATGCCTCCAGAAACTCAGGACCTCTTAGCCTCACCACTACACAAAGACAATGGCCCAGCCCTGACTGACAAGTGCGAGCACCATTTACTGACACCCCCCAACACTACCTCCTAATACAGAGGCAGGAGAGCTCCCAGCAGCCTGGGATGTACGGAACGCACGCTGGTAAGACCACGGTTTAACATCTCCTACAAGGGGAGATGCCTCCAGAAACTCAGGACCTCTTAGCCTCACCACTACACAAAGACAATGGCCCAGCCCTGACTGACAAGTGCGAGCACCATTTACTGACACCCCCCAACACTACCTCCTAATACAGAGGCAGGGAAAATGCGGACCATGGGCCTCACCACAGGGGCCCTCAGGCACAGAGCAGCCGCCGCTTCATAGCGGCCCCAAGTCACCTTGAGCTGTTCCCTGTGGCTTTCTGCTCTGGGCACCGGGGGAGGCTTTGCTGAAACCGGCCAATGGGAGCTGAGAGTCAGTGGGGGTCAGTGCGCGAAGCCTCCCCCACCAGGAGCAGAGAGCCATAGGGAGCAGCCAGGGAGCCTGCCTCAGGGTCCTGCAGGGCTGCTACCCAGGAGATGCCTACATACGTGCCTCCCAGCCACAGCCTGCCTGCTGGCACCCCAGCCTCTCCCCCCCGATCACCATCCATAGCCTCTGCACCCCCTTCTCCCACCCCAGGTCACAATTCCATCCCAGACCCTGCACCCCCTCCTATAACCCCTTCCCCAGGCCAGAATCCCCTCCTGCACCCACACCCCCTCCTGGATCTTGCATCCCAAGCCCCTACCCCAGATCAGTCCCCTTCACCCACATTTCCCCCCCAGACCCCATACCATCTCCAGCATCCCAGTACCTACCCTGAGCTCCATTCTAGATCCCACTCCTCCTCCATAGAAAAGTGTGGGCCTTGACCACTTACCAAAGTCTTGAAGTACCTGTCCCCTGTCAAAAATTATTGCCCACCCCTGTTCCAATATTAACCTCCAGGCAAATCTGACCTGCCTTCAAAACTCTCAAGGTGGTAGAAAGGTAAAAACTTTCACTTTCATTTATCTGCATTCATATAGCTTATAAATTACGTGATTGATAAAAGCTCTACAGAAGTTATAATTAAGGGGTTTTTGTCCTTGGAAGACATGCTCAACTCTTTGGCACTCATACCTTTAATGAAAAGCAATTATCTTGCTTTGAATAGCTGAATCTACATCTGCAATGCAAAGAGAGACTAATGAATGCAATATTCTGGGAAAATAACGCACACAACAAAACTCAAGAATGCTGTCAACGCAGTACTGATTTTGAAAAGGATGAAACTAATCACAATTCTCATCCAGTTTGGCAGAAGTAAGTGCTTTATAGTTTACCTGGAACTCTAATCTAGGATGCAATCCAGCAGGAAACAAACATGTGTTCTTACACAACTAAATTCACAATTGGCTTTTTGGAGCATTTGAAATGGAACTCAAAATTTTACACAAGAGCTATATTCAAATGCCTAGCAAATGACCAGACTTGTACATTGCAGTTTGGGCACCTGTTGACTGCTTACAAAGCAGGCAAAAATAAAGTACACAGATACTACTGAAGGCTGTTCTCATAAATCTAATGCTGCTTTCTGCATTTGATAAATGCGAAAAACTTTCCTTTAAGAGAAAAGGCTCGGCATTAAGCAAAGGCTAGGATACTGTTAGCTATGGGTGTGCGAGGCCAACCTTCAACAGGCAAGTTAAAGTCTGAAATCTACTGTTGTCTCACCAGAAGTGACGTCCAGCACAGAAATTCGAATAAGGAATGTAAACTGCTGACTTGAATTTCAAGGCTAAGTACTTGCATTAAGAACATAACATCTGGTTCTCACTCCTGGAGAGACACGAGACATGGGCTCCTTACCATGTCTCGTGACACAGAGAAAAGCCAGCAGATTACATTTGCTGAGGAAAGAAGGAGCAAGGTGCAGTATCTCCATGGACCAAGACAAGTTGCTGAGCTGACGACTCCCAGAGCAGATCAAAACTACTAATCAGAGCTGTTCGGAAAGTCTACCCCTCCTGCATACCAGTGTGAACGGAATCCTGCAGATACAGACAAAACAAATCAAGGCAGCCCAGATAGTGTGGGATAAGCTATTTTCAGGGGAGTGAAGGGAAACTAAGGCAGGAAAGGAACTGATTTTCTTCAGCGTGTTGTCCCTATTGGTCCCCTCTGACAGTGCACGAGCTGCCAACAAACCCCATTTCAGAGCCAACAGAGGAGCGTTATCTGTCTTACCGCAGCACGTGGCAGCCCCAGCCATGGACACGGCCCCATTGCGTAGGTGCTCTATGACCAAGAGCAATAGGACCGTGCCTATCCCAGAATACTCCAATCTAGGTGAAAGACAAGAGACAAAGGATGGAGTCAGAGGGGGAAAAGTGTTTCTCCGGCTTTTTACAGCCAAAGCAGAGGGGGGGGGGGGGGGGGGGAGAGGGGAATCTGCAGAGGTAAACTCAAAACACAGGAACGTACTTCCATAGACCAGTGGGGGTACTGGGACCAACCCCATTCAACCTATTTATAAGTGAGCTGGAGAAAGGTGTAGACAGGGAGGTGGCAAATCTGCAGATGATACTAAACTGCTCAAGATCGTTAAGTCCAAAGCAGCCTGTGAAGAGCTTCAAAAGGATCTCACCAAACTAGGTGACTGGGCAACAAAATGGCAGATGAAATATAATGGTCAGGGCTCTCCAAGTGGCAGCGAGCTCTGCTCGCCTTCTGCGCTCTGCGCATGCATAGATCATTCTGCACATGCGCAGATCACTCTGCGCCAGCTCTTTCGGGGTGTAATCTACTCGCCCGTGGCAAGTAGATTACATTGTTTGTCGAGCCCTGAGAATGGTGATAAATGTAAAGGAAAAATTAGAAAAAATAATCCCAGCTCTACATACAATATGATGGAGACTAATTTAGCTATAAGTACTCGAGAGAGATCTTGGAGTCATTGTGGATAGTTCTCTGAAAACATCCACGCAATGTGCAGCGGCAGTCAAGAAAGCAAATTGAATGTTAGGGATCATTTTAAAAGGGACAGAGAATAAGACAGAAAATATCTTATTGCCTCTGTATAAAACCATGGGACGCCAAGATCTTGAATACTGTGTACAGATGTGGTCGCCTCATTTCGAAAAAAGACACAGGTAGTGGAAAAGTTTCAAAAGAGGGCAAGAAAAACGATGAGAGGTTTAGAACAGGTCTCATATGAACAGAAATTAAAGAGACTGGGATTTTTCATCTTAGAATAGAGGAGACTAAGGGGGGGGAGATAAGATAGAAATCTATAAAATCAAGACAGGTGTGGAAAAATCGAATAAGGAAAAGTTATTTACTTGTTCCCGTAAGAACTGGGGGTTCACCAAATGAAATTAATAGGTGGCAGATTTAAAACAAACAAGGAAACTTTTGTTCATGCAGTATACAGTCAACTTGTGAAGGGGAATGCACAGTCCATCTGTGGAACTCCTTGCCAGAGGATGTTGTGAAAACCAGGGCTTTAACAGGATTCAAAAAAGAACTAGATGAATTCATAAAGGTTAGGTCCATCAGTGGCTATTAGCCAGGATGGCTAGGGATGGTGTTCCTAGCTTCTGTTTGTTAGAGGCTGGAAATGGGCGACAGGAGAAGGATAATTTGGTGACTCCCTGTTCTGTTCACTCCCTCTGGGGCATCTGGCATTGGCCACTGTCGGCAGACTGGACACTGGTCTGACACAGTATGGCCATTCTTATGTGGTGATATTGCTCGCTCAGATCCCTCTGAGATGCTAGCCAGTAGTGACAAAGTAAGGAAAGGGCTGGGTCCTATTAGTTGAAAAGAGAAACATTTTCTCATGTGTTCATTTGGCTTTGTGATGAACACAGAGTGAGGCTTTGGAAAGGTGCGAATCACCTGGAGGGATCTCAACAGATGGCACACAACAGATAGCTGCTAAAGTAGCAGATATCCACGCCTCCTGTAGAAAGAGCTTTAAAAGTTCTTCTCATACAAGAATTTCAGTGAGCACAGACCATCTGTATCCAAAAACTAATCTGTTTACAGGGCCTCTGGATTCAAGAGTCCTGGATCTTTTCTCTAATTATGCACCATAATAAAACTAAGGACTTTAAAAGACTGCCTACTGCCAAGGAAATAACCAACTGTTCTCTTCGCATTCCAGGTATCCGACCAACCCTAACATGGAAGATCGAGAGGCTCATGTGTTTGCTTTAAAGGAAAGGTAGAGGCCACCAGAATCAAAATTTTTGGACAGGAATCTTATAACTGAATCCTTACAAAATCTGCACAAGGATGACCTGTCGCCAAAGCTCCTACCTGACTGGTTCCAAACCAGAGAATTTGCCAAACCATAGGGCTATGTCTACACTCTGCTTCTCATGCAAGAAATATGCAAATGAGGCTAAGCGTGGAATATCGCCAAACCTAATTTGCATACCTAATGAGCTGCCATTTTGCAGAAGAGGCTCTTGCGCCAGGAGCTGTCTACACTGCCCCTTCTTGCGCAAGAAAAACCCTCTTGCGCAACGCCGCTACACTGACTTTTTTCAGGAATAACGGCATTGAGCAAGCGGGTTTTTCTTGCACAAGAAGGGGCAGTGTAGACAGCTCCTTCTGGAGTAACAGCCTCTTCTGCAAAAACAGCAGCTCAGGTATGCAAATGAGGCTTGGCGATATTCCACGCTTAACCTCATTAGCATATTTCTCGTGCAAGAAGCTGCCAGTGTAGACATAGCCTAGGAGGTCGCTATTGTTCAGCAGCATTACCAGCACTGCCACTGCTTCCTGGGCTCTGAGATGTAATTTGGGGTAAATTTAAGCTAAACAACAGCACAGAACACAGAGTCAGGACTGGGGGCTGTAAACAAACTTTATGGGACGGCAGGAAACTTGGCCACACTCATGGTAAGTGGACACCAAGCTAACTAAAATCATGCCGGACCTGGATGTTGACAGACCAGAGCATGCCAGACTAGAGAGGCTCACCCAGCACTTCTGAATCTCTCCTGGCAACTGATCTAGTTGGAATGGAAGGATCTTTCGATGAGAGATGCGAGAAGAACAGGTGCCTTCGACAACCGAGAACCAAGATTCTAGGGCCACATTCTCAGGTTACAATTTGGATGTACACGTTGATCACACTTTGTAATGGGGCTGTGAAGTGTTTGGCTACATAATCGTGACAATCCCGAGGGGGGGGGGGGGGGGAGAAGAGGAGGTTCAGAGTCCATTCTCTCGAAGCAGCAATGGGAATATAGTTGAATGGGAGGAACTTCTGCACTTTGGTTTCTAGGATGCTGGAGCACAGAATCAGGCACACACTCCTCCGGGCTGCTTTGAAATGGGGCCTGTCCCCATGAAGCCAAGGACAATCTCCTGGTGAAGATGTGCAGAGGCAGAGTTACAAAGAAGCAGCCCTGTTCCCAAAATATTGTACCAATACTTGGCATTTAGAGCATTGCTGTGTTGCTTGTCCATTTCATCCACCTGAAGGACAGGTTAGGTAAACTTTCTGCTCTTTAGAATCTGAGCTAACACTCCTGGGCTGTACTTCACAGACAAGGCCCCAATGCACATGCCATCATAAAACCTTGACTTCTTCCTTCCTCCAGTGAAACTTAAGCGTCTCCTTTGTTTTGCTACTGATGTCGGAGACTGAACATGCTCCATTGGGGAGACACACCTCGTGATTTTTTTAAAAAAAAATATACTGATATCACTTCGGTCAAAACTATTTCAAATCACTTTCAAAATTTCAGTTGTAATATCTTTAACTCATGTAAGGTCTAAAATTCCTATCTTAACTTTTCATGAGCAGCTTGTAATATAATTAATGCAACGAAGTCAGATCTCATTTCAATGTGCAGTCGCCATAAATGTTACTAAAATACATTTAACATTCAATAAACCTAAACCATTTTCCATTGCAGCTCACTCTAATTTGCATTTACAATAGATCAAACTCCTATCACGCAGAATTTAAAGAGGAACTTCCTTTTGCATGGAAGATTTCCATCTTATTGCAAAGAAGAATGTGTCACTTTACATGAGTATCTATCATGGAAAACCTATTTTGAAAGAGCACCGTAGCATTTGATTCTTAAGAGGCCTGTTAAAGTTAACCATGGTGGGAAACTACTTTTCTTTGCTATACACCACCAGCGTAAGACCTTGATGTAATACACAACAGCATGGATCTGGTTCAATGCACTTTCTCCCCCAATTTTACAGGCAGATTCTTAAATTGTGAATGTATTACTTGTTAGTATTTTGCACTGTCTTGCTCTCTGACATAGATAATACTGTTTCTCGATTTAACTGTTTTCAAAAGTTAACCCTAAAAAACTGCCCTCGCCAATACAGCCAAAATATAAAGGCTTCAACAATCAGGAAAGCAGTCCATTTTAAAATAAGGAATTATTCTCTCATTTTAACCTAGTGCCAAACAAGGAAACTATATACCAAATGGATTTAGGAGAGATGCTAACAACACTGTTGTCTCTTATTTATTCCTGGATACAAACCTAGCATGTGTCCTTGAATCGATGGCCCTGCAACACCAGGCACTTGACAAGCGGATCACTCCGCAACACACATATGCCCAGCTCTTGAACAAGCAACTCCAGGCTGCTTTGCCAGCTAAGGCCAGCCAGGACAGTTTGGAAGTGTCTAGTTCAGGCTCTCACAAAGAGCAGACCTGTAAGTGACATCTTAAGGATTAAACTGATTGAGATGCAATTTGCCTAGCAACCATTCATTAAGCAGAGTTCAGAAACAGGCCAGCAATCTATTCCCCCTCCTTATCTGAGCAGTAAACAGCTAATAGTCTCCACTGTGTCCTCTACCCTCTATTTCAGACACATTGCAAACAGCTCTCTCAAACGTTAAGCCTCCTACAGTAAATCTCATGGAACAACCCCATTTCCTAAATACATACAGGATTGAGTTCCAGCAAGCATCTGACAAGCCTGGAACAGCTAAACCCCCTATCCTAATGCAAATCCCAGAATGAATGCATTCACAGGCCTGTTCTGTGCACCAAGAACCCATCCCAGCCTTAAAAACGCAACACCAAACATATCAGGCAAGGCTTTGGCACTGCTGCTCCAAACCAATCTTATTCCTTCCCTTCAACTTCTGAAAGGAATCAATTTCTATTTCTGAAGGCTTTGATGTAGGCTCGCTCTGAAGGAAGAGGACAAGTCTCACTTTTCCTCCTACTAAGCACTGCTTTTTTGCCCACTAAAGCTTATGTCCAAATAAATCTGTTAGTCTTAAAAGGGACCACAGGACTCCTTGTTGTTTTTCCAGGACAGAAGAAAAACACCATCAGAGAAAATTAAACCAGCTACTTCGGTCTCAGTAGTGCAGTGTGTTTCAGCCACTTAATCTCTACAGCTAT